ACGTCCAGTGCTTCCAGGTTTTCCATCGTAGTCTAGCTTCAATCGACTGATGATTTCAAGTATTGAAATTACTGAAATCTCCACAAAACCCCTTCTGATATAAACTATCTAGTAATTGTACTGAAAAATCTGATCTTTGGAAATAAATTTATTAATGTTAGATTATTCACGGTATTTCTGAATGTGCAACATATTCCTTGGCGGCCTGCTTGAATATCTAGGCTACCTGTTCCTCACATCTAGATATTTCAACAATTTATTCTGGTTTTTTGTTTTGTTTTAACGCATCATTATGTCAACTAATTGCATAACTCATTCAAGTGCGTTTGTGAAAAGTTCACGACTTTTCGCTGTACAACTTACAAAAACGTACAATCAGTGACATTATAAATACTGGCAATATGCATCGAAGAAATGTACATTATTTAGATATCGATTTACTGCACTACTAATTTCTAACTGGAGACCAGTAAATTCTTATTGTCAGGATCGACTCAGAAATTAGAAACGGAAACTTGTTGGAAGACTTTGTGTTGAGACTTCTGTTACTCCCAATAAAGCATAGGACGCCGAACAGCATTCTCCAACACACTCTGTCCTACGCCTTCCTTTCTTCTTCCATCCAATTGTTGTTCATTCTTCTCATGTCTGTCTCCATTTCTCGGTGTAATGTGTTCTTTGGTTTCGCTCCTCTTCTTTGGCATTGAAGATTTCAAGTGAAAATTTGCCCTGTGACGCGATTGGGTGATTTATTCAATGTGTGTCCTATCCAATTCCAGCGCTTCTTCCTGATTTCTTCCTCCACTGAGATCTGGTTTATTCTCTCCTACAGTAAGTTGCTGCTGATATTGTCTGGTCAAGGGATCCGGAGTATTTTGCGTGGGCAACTGTTAATAAGCACCTGTATTTTCTGGATGGTGGCGCTCATAGTTCTGCAAGTTTCCGCTCCATACAAGAGAACTGTCTTGACATTTGTATATAGAATTCTGACCTTGGTGTTGGTTGGCCGTTGTTTTGAGTTTCAGATGTTCTTCAGTTGTAGATATACTGCTCTTGCTTTTCTTTTAGTGTATTTTGAGACCTATTGCTGCTGAGGCTGCTGCTACATCGGTTTTCTTCTCCTGAATTGGTTGTTGCGTGTGTGATGGAAGGGCCAGATCATCTGCAAAATCCAGATCATCCAACTGCATCCTGGATATCCACTGTATGCCATACTTCTCTCCAGATGTTGACGTTTTCACAATACAGTCGATCACTAGTAGAAAGAGAAGAAGTGACAGTAAGCAACCTTACTTACACCGGTCTTTACATCGAACGAGTCTGCGAGCTGTTCTCCATGCACGATTTTGCAGTTTAATCCATCATTATCATCAAGCGCTCTGTAGTATCGAAGAAACTTACGTAGTGTTGTTCTGTCCATGCTATCAAATGCTTTCTCGTATCCAATGAAGTGCATGTAGAGTGATGAATTTGTAGCGTGGTGTCGAGTCGCGATTGACTTTGAACATCACTACACAGGAACGCGTGCCAGGATATCCATAAAATCCCTCGGAAGCCAAATATCATAAGGTAGTTAATGGACCAAGTCGAGATATATTTGCTGGCGATCTCGTGGTATCGAAAGAATACCGAGATCGTGCCAGGATACAAGCTTGGTTACTGAGCGTAACTGGATTCGCGCGAGGTCACAATCGAAGTAAGTATAATGGATATTTTTAGCACAGTTAAACAAAGAGCACATTGAAACAGTCACTGGTACAATTGGTTATAATAATAATTGTTTTCATAGGACCAATCGTGTTCTCGTGATAAAAGTAAGTCACTACAAATTCTATTCAATTGATTGTTCCACAATGATCCGTAGAGTTGCTATTTGGTCTGTACACGATCGATCCTTACGGAATCCTGCCTGTTGGTCTCGAAGTTGGGCATCTACTGAATCCTTCATTCTGTATAACAACATCCTGTTGAATACTTTTCCTGGTATTGAGAGAAAAGTGATGCTTCTGTAGTTCTCATACTTGCTTAGATCGCCTTCCTTTAATTTCTTGATCACGTGTTCTTCTTTTCAGTCTATTGGTACCTATTTCTTTATCCTAAATCTTGTTGAAGAGAATGTTGAATGTCTTTGCAGTTACTGCTACATCTACTTTTAGTGCCTCTGCTGGAATGTTGTCTGGTCCTACTGCTTTGCCACTCTTGATTCGCCTGACGGCAAGAGTTCTTTGAAGTGTTCTACCCACCTGTTTCGTTGTTCTCCAATTTTGCTGATTACCTTGGCTTCGTTGCTTATCATTGGTCGTTCTGTTTTACGGTAATTTCCAGCGAGTTCCTTTGTTGTGTCATACAGTTGTCTCATGTTTCTTTCTCTTGCAGCAGAAGCTCTCCTGAAGGTAGTCGTTGTTGTCCGAATTGCGTCCAATATGTTTCACTGATCCCAAGCACCTCTAGGTTGTATCGCCTCATTTCTGCAGCAATTTGAAAGACTCTGCCGGTCTCCCACATTGTATGAGTATTCCATGTACCTAAATGAAAGGTTGCTCTGATTGTCAGAAGGGACACAGGTCTCGTGACTTCCGAAGGAAACTCGCTTTCATCATGAGGCGTCATAACTCTTCTAAATGAAGACTTTCTAACTACCAGGGTAGAGTTTAGAGCGTTTGAATAATTTTTTCTGGTTAGCGTTTTTTAGCGAGTTAGTTATCTACGGGATTGAGTCACTAACCCCATGTCCAACCCTCCTCCTTTATCCGGACTTCAGTTAGTCGGTCAGTCAGTTGCAACGTAGGACCAGGAACATATATGAATCAGACCAAGCCATTGTAATTGATTCTGAGCCATGTCAACAAGAGTCCCCAACGATTGATTAAGATAGTCACACGGACCCCAACCAAGCAGTAAGCATCTACAAGAGCTACAGATGAATTTATTCATCACATATCTGTAGTTTATTATTTTTTCATCAGCTACAAATATCGATTATTGCTTGGCTTACACATCTCCACTGTGCATCATTTCATTTCTCTCTCTTCTCTTCGCTTTCTTCAATCGTTTATTTCGATCATCAATTGTACAAAATATACATCTATTCCCGTATTCGAATTTTATTTTAACTCCATTATGGATTAACGCGAATCAAGTCGATAATTATATCACGAGGATTGGCGACATATATATATATATATATATCAACGGCAATGACTAATGATCAAACTGGAGTCAGATATAAGGCTTATAAAAACTATTAGACATCATCTCTACAAACGATGGAAGTAGATATATAAACTGTGAAAGAAAATCTCTAATCATACATTCGAACATAATTGTCATTTATCACGTAATCTAAATTAATTATTATTAAATATAACTGTTTCAATGAAAAACAAAATTATTAAATTTAAAAATCAGTTATAAAAGTAGTATATTCATTTCAACTTAATTAATTATCATCACGAAAGATTTATGTTTGTTCATTGAAATTTAAACAAAACAACCAAATGTAAATAGTTGATTGGTCATTAGGTTATTGATTGAGATCTTGAACTCATTGATGTTAGATCAACCATTGAAAACCTGAATGAACTGGATGACCGTTTAGTCCTATTGTCGAACTCGTCAACAGTGCACATCCATGATCCCTCATGCGGGATTCAAACCAGTGCTTTCAGGTTTTCAAAGGTTGTCTACCATCAGTCGGTTTATAATCTCAATCAATCCACAACCCTATATTGATAATTAACATATGCTCACTAGTGACTAGCTTCGTGAAAGGATTCTCGGAGTTCTAGTGAGAAACCATGACTAGTGGCGTTATTTTGTGTCGGAGAGAAACAGGTATCTACCTCATTACAATGGAAGATGGTGGCGCATCCAGTGCTTCCAGGTCTTCAATGGTTGATCTAACATGAATCGGTTCAAGATCTCAATCAAAAACTCATTAATCTTCACAACCCTGTACTGAAATTTGATGATATTGAAATATGTAGTTTGTTTAGTTCTATAATTAAGGATCAACTTGATAATGACAATGAAATGAACTACCTTTAAAGAAAGTAGACTGAAATATCTTTAGATTATTTAGAGTTGGATGATTTAAAAACGTTATTTTGATTGTTATCCTGAAGAAGTTTGAACGAATTTGTTGGATGAAACGGTGAGACTATAATTTATGGACGAACTTATCAGATTTAGGATAACAGGTCTTAGATTTTGGCGCCAAATTCACTCACCCATTCATCCAAATAGTGTCTTGGCATTTTAGTTGATGTCAGTTTGTGATAAACCATAAATCTAAATCTTAACCCTTACCATCAATTGTAAATCATTGTCTTGATTCTTCATACTACTATGTAACCTTCATTTAGCCCCATTAAGTAGATAAACACTCTGTGATGCAAATACATCCAGCTCGGAATTCCACTACTATCCATTATTCATCTTTGCTTATAAAGTCTTGATTGTAGTTCATTTTATTCATAAAAGTATGATGAATAATGTTCTCCTATTGTTCCTGACAATTTTTAATTTTTATTCGTCAAATCAGGTAATGAAAAAAATTTTTCAATCAGTTCTATTATTTTACTTATTTGGTGAAACTATGTAACACCATTAGATGCCAACTCAGTACTCTAGAGGTTAAACATTTACACGCAAGACTAAAGGTCATGAGTTCGATTCTCAGATGCGGAATCGTGCATGCACACTGCTAAAGAGTCTTACACTAAGACGAATCGATCGTCCAGTGCTTCCAGATTTTCCATGATGGTCTAGCTTAGATTGACTAATCAAGTTAATTGTTACAATACTACAATCACCACAAATACCCGTATTGATTTAATAATTGTATATGCAATTAATTGGGCATAAAATAAAAACCTCTACTTGTCATATTGTTTATACAACTTTAGTTCAATTTGTATTTTGTTAAACTTCCTTTCATTTGTAATAACATCTAGTGAATGAAAGGAACAATAAATGTATCTCCTCTTTCTTTTAAACAGATATTATATTAAATTTTTGGACTACATATGTTAGTAAAAGTGGACAAGTTGTATATCATTTAAAAGCCATTGCTATCAATTATTTACGTGGTTGGTTCTTTCTTGATTTATTGGCGGCTATTCCATTCGATGTTATTTTAGCTGTAAATAATCCTGAAATACAAGGAACTATTGGTGAAATGGTAAGTTGAAACAACAAGTGTTAAGTATGAGTTAATATGGTGGTTGGAGATAGTCAACAGGAAACCCAGATGATCCGGGTTTCGTGCTACTTGGCACCCATCATTAAGCTGTAACTGTTATCTTGAAGGAACTGATGCCTCTTGACGGATTCAATCCCGTGTCACTCAGCCTCACAGTTAGAGACATTACCACTGAACTATCCGACCGCCCCTCTGTTGGACTGTGATGTAATCACAATTGATTGATCACTAAATTATGATCAATGTCATGTATGTCAACTCCTTCTTAGTGCAGATCGAATGCTATCGACCAAGTTGGTATGAGTCTTAGTGTATAACATCAACACTGAAACATAAATGACTTCAATTGATAAGTTCCCAATAGGAAGATATCATTGCTAATGATAATCTGAATAGTTTAAGTTAGATTCTATGTGATCTTTCAATCGGGGGATGACTACTTCTATTGTCTTGTCAACTAAATATGTTTACCTTTAAATAAGTTAGTTCACACAGTTTATTATTATTATTATTTGAAAACTGGTCATATTTACATAAACGATCAATATAGATTAATTGATTAACGATATGGCTTATCATTAAACTTATATATTGTCTTCGATGCTTTTTTAAATCAGATTCATTATTTCAAAGAGAATTTTATGAATAATAGTTGAGATCATCAGTTCATTTAAGCTAGATCATTGTGGAAACCTTGGACGTACTGAACGGTCATTTTGTCTTATTGTATTCGTTATTAGAATTGAATGTTCTGTGACTTATAGGATTGTTTAATTAGCCATTTTGGTTGTTGTTAAAATTGTATTCATTTTGAAATACTTTAACCTCAATCTTTAAAATCTTAGAAATAAAATTCCAGGAATGAATGTTATGACAAACTTTTTTCTGGTTAGCGTTTTTTTAGTGAGTTAGTTTTCTACGGGATGGGGACGCTAACCCCATGCCCAACCCTCCTCCTTTATCCGGGCTTGGGACCGGCAGTAGCCCCCGGAGGGACTCCAGGCGGAGTTTATGACAAACTTAGAAAGTTGTAATCAATTAGGAAAACATTGTTTTGGAATGGTGGAGAAGATTTGTAGCTCAGATGGATGATTTTGGTGGAGTGCTGATGATGTCGTTCAGAAGAACGATGAAAGCTCCACGACCAAACCATCCAGCTCAAAGAACAAAACTTCACCAAAATTGTTTGGAAGCTTATAATAAGTATAATAAGATTGATATGTAAAGTATTTATTAAATTAACGGGTTAATATACACATTGAAAGTCTTTATAAAGATGTAATTCGTGTGATATTGAATAATCTAGGGAAACCAATAATCTAGGTTTCATCCCAGTACGGGAATCCTTGCAGTGCGCATCCACACTCCTGCCTTGAGATATTTGAACCCAGGACCTATCAGTTTCACTCGCGAACGCTTAAACTATAGACCACTGACCCGGCCGGGATCCAATTGTGTTAATGTCTAACTTCAACTAATCCACGAAATTGAGTGACAGATACACCGTTGTCTTCAGTGAGTTACTATCTCACAATAGACCCAATTGAACTCCACTGGTCACTGCTTCTCAGTAGAACTCCAGGATCCACCACTTGAAGCCAGTCACTGTTGGATGCAAGCCGGCCGGCCGGCTCAGTGGTCTAGTGGCTAAGTGCTCGCGAGTGAGACTGATAGTTCCCAGTTTTGAATCTCTCAAGGCGGGATCGTGGATGCGCACTGCCGAGGAGCCCAATACTAGGACGAAACAGCCGTCCAGTGATTTCAGGTTTTCCATGGTGGTCTAGCTTCAACTGAATCATGATCTCAACTACTGAAATTACTATAATATTCACAAAAATCCATTCACATACATATTACTTACTTAATTACTTACGCCCGTTATTAAACTTCCACTAAATGATAACAATCATTATGTTATGGAATTTTAGATAATGACAGAGATTTATGAATAAAATGCAAACTGAGTTTTTATAACGGTGTAATTCGTGTGATTTTGAATAATCTAGGGAAATCAATAATCTAGATTTCTTTTCAGTAGACGCCTATCAGTTTGATGTGTCTATCCTCCTTGTTATTTCGAAATTCTACCTCAGTAACTCTCTGCTAAATTAAAAAAGTTCTTTTGCTACATTGGTATTATAACAGATTTATTTTATGAATGACCGATTAAATGAAATAATAGTGTTTTATCTCCAAGCGATTATTGTGTAAAGTATCTATTTATTCGATATTTGCCCCCCAATGCCCTGATGCAGCCGTGAGTAGGGAGAGTCAGCTCGCCCTCTCGAAATGCTCTCACATGACCACTGTCAGAGAAGTCGTACTCACTGCCTTCTCGCAACACGAGTGTTCTTACGAAATCGAGAGGAAAAATGCCAATATCAAGCGCTTTAACCGAGTTTGTAAACAAAGACAATCCATCTAGGAGTGTTAGAAAACCCTGATTACAAATAAATGGTTCAAATGGACTCCAGTATTCCGAAGGAACGAATGGCATATGAACCAATTATTGGTGACCAGTTACCATGGGACTATATCTGCTGACATGGCTCCACTGCCTTTTGGATAACACCTTTAGGTCAAAGTTTATGGATGTGACCCCTTATGAAAACCACCTGCTTCGGTTTGGGCACCCGAGTAGTATCCCGACCCTCACACAAATTGAATGATTTATGTTGCGCATATCTATTTGGTGATTCCTTGTCATTAACATTACCTATTACACTGATGTAGTTTTTGAAATACTTATATCAGATTCACTTATCTGAATTACTGACTAAATCCAGATTTTAACATGTTATCACGAAAGTAGTTCAAAGATTACTACAGTATTAACCTCCATCACTTTTTTAGCTTTGAAACAACTCTTAGTGAATCATTTCAGTAATATTCCATACTTTGAATTGAGTCGTCTAAATTAAATTATTCTAAATCCAGCACTTCCCTATACAAACAGTAAGACCAAACAGATTAATAAAAAAGAATATAGGCTCTAGTGAGAAACAGTAACCAATGAAGTTCAATTATGTTGATTATGAAGCAGTTACTTATAAATAGAAAACACTTGACCATTATCGTAAACTGGTTGATGTCAGAGAAGTACACAATAAGATGTCAATTTTAATGGTATAAATGTTTAGTGTACTCCATAAGACCTCTTTCATGCTTTAGGTTCGAGCCCTAATGTGAGGGCAAAAATATATGCTTTGGAGAAAACGTTTACTCATATGAAACAATTACTCGGTACTTCCTGGTTCTTAACGATTATGTAATTGATATCAGTTTGTGGTTAAAAAAGATTATAAGATTATCCTTCCAATTGCTAATAACAAAAAATGGTGAAAAACTAAATGCTACAGTTTCTTCTTTAGTCAGTTGTGAACCAATATACTTCATTTTAGATGTTCATTTTAAGAATCGCTTGTCAATAAAAACTTGCCATTTGCTAGGTTTGAAGCGGTTACGAGTTCACTTAATCTGCGAACGTAACAAAGAGTCAGTGACCAAAGACCAATACGCTAGCTAATCGATGCGTCTCAGCCCCGCCAACTGGAGAGAGAAGTCCAATCATGGAATGGAGAAGTATGTTCCGCGAAAAGCCAGAAAACGAGGGATAACAACAAACAAAAATCAAAACGTATATATACACCACAAAACCGTCCTTGGGGAGTTACAATATAGCATACTAAAATATACAAGTGACCAACAGCATAGAAATACGACATGAAGGTGAAAAGAAATTCAAATTTTCTAAATAAAATTACAGAATTAGGTCCTTTTCCAAGTGAGTTCTGAGGATCTAACATCTTCAACACCATTCACCATATAGCCTAGATCAATGTAAATAAAATTTACTTGAATAACCTAAACATATAACGAGTGATCATTTTAGAGTTTGTGGAGATTGTTAAGCTTTTTTTGATTGAGATCATGAACCGATCGATGTTAGACCACCATTGAAAACTTGGAGTTCTGGTGAGAAGCTGTGACAAGTGGAGCTAATCCGTGTCTGGTAGAAACAACTGTCTACCTCAGTACAATTGAAGACGGTCGCGCAACTTCCAGGTTTGGTTGAGGTTAGATATCAACACCATTGGATGCCTGCCGGCTCAGTGGTCCAGTAGGTTAAGTGTTCGCGCGCGAGACCTAAGGCCCTGAGTTCGAATCCCGCGAATGGGATCGTGGATGCGCACTCCTGAGGGCGTCCACAATAGAACGATTTGGCCGTCCAGTGCTTCCAGGTTATCAATGGTGGTCTAACATCATTTGGTTCATGATCTCAATCAAAAAAATATAAGGAGTTGTAACAATAAAATCAAATAATAAGTTTACACAATATTCCTAATATAATAAAATAAGCAAGTCGTTTTTTTTTTCTGAAAAGCTCTTTTTTTACAAAGTACCATGGGCATCTTGATAAAGTGATGGGTTTTTTTCCAATGAAAGTACAGTGCATTCAATCAAAAGTACACATAATTCACTAAGCTAGTTTCATCCGTTAAATAACAAAAACAGTTTACAAAAAATCAACAACAACATTCAAACACATATTAAACGTTTTTGATGGAGTTTTGTTCGCTGAGCTGGATAGTTTGGTCATGGAGCTTTTATTGTTCTTCTGAATGAAATCATCAGCATAAACTTCAGATAGAAGTGAAGTGTTCGAATTCCTCCACATGTGGTTCATAGCTTGTCCTGTAGACCTAGATGAACGATGAAAGCTCCACAACCAAAACATCCAGCTCAGAGAGCAAAACTCCATCAAAATCATCCATCTGAGCTACAAATCTTCTCCACCATCTCAAAAAACCATATTAAACGTCTTGATAATTTATGCAAGCTATTAAACAATAATGAATTGTACTCTCAGAAATAAAATAGAGAAAAACCTAAAATAGTGTCAGGATGGAAGTAATCATAAATTTTTTTGATAGCCTACTTAATTTACAATCTTAGTTTTTTGAAGGTTCAATTCAAGA